AGTGGCCTGATGTACTGTGTACTGCTCTTGGGATTGTGCCAATTTACCTGTTGACCTTGGGTTCATCACCCTCAGCCACCTGCAGGTATGTGAGTTAGGAGATACCCCCAGCTCCAGTGGGCCTAGAACAAGAGGCACAGTTGAAACCCAAGGTCAAGGAGCCTTCACCCAGCCCCTAGAGCTGGCACTCTGCATTTGGATTGCAGCCTCCTAAACTGTAAGAGAATAAATTCCTGTTTGTGAAAGCCTTCAACTTGTGGTTTGTCTGGTACAGCAGCACAAGAGAACTGAGACATATTTTTGTTTGGTTTCTTTCTCTTTTTTTTCTTTTGTTCTTATTTTGCACTTGTATTGTTTTCCTTATTACTTTTATATCTGTGTCTATGTTTTCTTTATGTTTAATGTTGTATTATATTTTTCCATTCTTTTCATTATTCAGCCTTCTAGAGTTTCACTTCCTGTCTTTTAATCCCCTTTCTCCTGCTCTTCTGGCCTGCTTCTTTGGGTATCCCTGAGTTTCCCCTCCTTACCTAATCCCTTTGGCTGATTGCTCTTCTCTTTGGATCCCTGGGTTTTACCCCTTTCTCCTGCTCTCCCGGCCTGCTACTCTGTGCTACGCCCGTGCTTACCTTGCTCCCGGAGACCCGGTCCCTCTCGGGAGGGTAACAAGGGAGCCGTCTGAGCACTAGTGACTGGGTTTTACCCCTTTCTCCTGCTCTTCTGGCCTGCTACTCTGTGCTACGCCCGTGCTTACCTTGCTCCTGGAGACCCGGTCCCTCTCGGGAGGGTAACAAGGGAGCCATCTGAGCACTAGTGACTGGGTTTTATCCCTTTCTCCGAGAAGCTGGACTATATGAAGAAAAACATGGTATCAGGATTGGAGGAAGAATCATTAACAACCTGAGATATGCAGATGATACAACTTTGCTTGCTGAAAGTGAGGATGACTTAAGGCACCTACTGATGAAGGTTGAAGAATACAGTCTGCAGTATGGATTACATCTCAACATAAAACAAAAATCCTCTCAACTGGACCAATGAGCAGCATCACAATAAATGGAGAGAAGATTGAGGTTGTCAAAGAATTCACGTTGCTTGGTTCTACAATCGATGCCAACGGAAGCAGCAGTCAGGACATTGGACGACGTGTAGCATTGGGAAAGTCAACTGCAAAGGAACTGTTTCAAGTGCTGAGGAGCAAGGATATCTCACTGAGGACTAAGGTGCGCCTGACACAAGCCATGATATTTCCAATCGCCTGGTATGCATGTGAGAGCTGGACAATGAATAAGGAAGACCGAAGAAGAGTTGATGCTTTTGAGTTGTGGTGCTGGCGAAGAATGCTGAAAGTACCGTGGACTGCTAAAAGAACTAACAGATCTGTCCTGGAGGAAGTGCAGCCAGAATGCTCCTTGGAAGCAAGAATGGCCAGACTTTGTCTCACCTATTTTGGTCATGTTGTAAGAAGGGACCATTCCCTGGAGAAGGATGTCATGCTTGGTAGGGTGGAGGGTCGACGAAAGAGGGGGAGGCCTTCAACGAGATGGATTGATACAGTGGCTGCGATGATGGGATCAAGTATAGCAGGGATTATGGGGCTGGCGCGGGATTGGGCAGTGTTTCGTTCTGCTGTGTATGGGGTCGCTATGAGTCGGAAACGACTCGACGGCACTTAACAGCAACAACAACAGAGTTTCACTTCCTTCATCATGTTCATTTGGTGGATCATCAATTCTCTTTCCTTTGGGTGTCTTGTGTGCGTGTTTTTTTTTGTTGTTGGGCACTGGAAATTTTAAGAGTGATAACTTTCTGAGTTTTCCCCCATATTTGGTGTTTGCTGCTAGTATTTTCTGCATAAAACTTAGAAGAACAGAACATTTGGCCTTTGCTGGGGCTGCTTTCCAGTTCACAGCAGCTGTTGGCCCATATGGCTAGGGGAGGGTAAGGGACTATGAGAGATCATTTTCCTGCTGCATGTGACTTATTGTTGATTTTGCTTGTGTGCAGTTCCCTGCTACTTTCCTCTGCTTTCTGACTCAGAGTCCCTCAAATCTGGGCACTGTTGCCTCGTATTTCTTCTTGTATTTTTGAGGTAGAGTTGGAATGAGTGTCTGTTTATGCCACCATCTTCCCAGAAATCCCTATGTCTATTTGCTTATTTCATAACACACCACTCAGAAGTGATTAGGTTTACGACCTTCCTTACTCTTCTATGGGAGCTCTGGTGGCATAGTGCCTAAGGCATTTGACTGCTAACCAGAAGGTTGATGGTTCAAACCCATCAGCCACTCCTCGGAAGGAAGGAAGGTTGGGCAATCTACTTCCATAGTGATACCACCTCAGAAACCCAAGGAGGGGTCACTATGAGTTGGATCCGACTCGACGGCAGTGTGTTACGTTATTGCGTTGTACTCTTCTATATTTTCTTTAAAGTGAAAAATAAAACTATTTCCAAACAGGGTCATATTTAAGTGAGGGGTGAGAACTTCAACATAATTTTTTCAGGAGACGATTCAAGGCATAACAACAGCCTCCTATCTTCGGAAGATCCTTTTCTCATTACAGACAATGAACATATTTTCTCAGTGACTCCCTAAAAGAAGTAAAATTTGGCATTCAAAATCAATCAGATCAAGGACAGTGGTAAATGAGCTGAAGATTTAGTATAACTTATTTTATTTGTTTGCAAGCTTTTGAAATTGCTTTAACAAAACTTGTTGGCTGTGCTCTTGATCTCTAATCCATCCTCTAGGCAGCTGTGTCTAGAGTACAGAGCTAGGTTCAATTCAAGATAGCTTATTTCTCAAGGTTCGGTAAACACCAGAGACATTAGCATGGTGGCACTGTTCCCAAATCTTGTAAGTTATTTTGATGGGCCTACATGATGACAGCAAATGGAATGCATTTTGCTGTCACTAAGGAACCTAAGTCTAAAAGCTCAGGACTTTTGTAGTCAACCTAAACAAGTCTGTTCCTCTCTGCTGGGGAGTGAGTTATCACATGATTGTCACACTGTGGTCATTTTGACCCAAGTAATTGCTTTTACAATTAGCTACAAAAATGTCAGGGTTAGATCTTGTAGTCTTGCACACTCAGTAAGGATATGCTGCATCTTGGGCCCAGGGCATACTGCCTCTCCTAATATCTCCTTTAAAACCTATTTTCTCATATTCAATATTTATTTATACATCATAATACAAAAAGTGATGCCATACTTTATGGCCCAGAGAAGATGAGAAGGGAAATTTGATATTCCTTCTCTAGAAAAGACTGAAGAGGAGTGATGCTTTTGAGTTGTAGTGCTGGTGAAGAATGCAGAAAGTACCATGGACTGCTAAAGGAGCTAACATATCTGTCCTGGAGGAGGTTCAGCCGGAATGCTCCTTGGAAGCAAGAATGGGCCAGACTTTGTCTCACCTACTTTGGTCATGTTGTGTCAGAAGGGACCATTTCCTGGAGAAGGATGTCATGCTTGTAAGGTGGTGGAGGGTCATGAAAGAGGGGAAGGCCCTCAATGAGATGGATTGACAAGGTGGCGACGGCGATGGGCTCAAATATAACAAGGATCATGCAGCTGGCACAGGACTGGGCGGGGTTTAGTTCTGCTGTCGATATTGTCACTATGAGTCAGGACGACTCGACACAAACAACAATCCCTTTCCAAAGTGTGAGATAACTTTCACTTATTCAGATCTTAGTTTAATTTCTTTCATTAGAGTTTTGTATTTTTCCTTATGTAGATCTTGTGCAATTTTGTTAAATTTATGCCTAAGTCATTCATTTTTGAATGCCGATTTAGAAGGTGTTGTGGTTTTAATTTCAAATATCAACTGTTCATTGCTAGCATATAGAAAAGCAAATGAGTTCTGCATATTAATCTTTTATCCTACAATCTTGCTATCAGTACTTAAAATTTCTAGGAGTATGTTTGTTGATTTTGGTATTTTATACATAGTCATGCCATCTATGAACAAAGACAGCTTTATTTCTTTTACAATTTTTTTAAAAAAAATTTTTATTATGTTAACATGTATATAAGAAACATTCACCATCTTAATTATTTCTCAGTGTACAATTTAGTGACATTTATTACACTTACCATGTTGAGCAACCATCACCACTCTTCGTTTTCAAAATGTTGTCATCTCTCTAAACAGAAACTCATAACCCCTTAAGCAGTAACTACCTATTCCTCCCTTTCTCCAGCCCATGATAACCACTAATAAACATTAGTCTCTATGAAATTGCCTATCTAGATATTTTATATAAGTGTAAGCAAATGATATTGGTCACTTTTTAGTCTCACTTATTTCATGCAGCACAATATTTTAAAGGTTCACATCTTAAGCAGGTATCAGAACTTAATTTATCTTTATGGTTGAATAATATTCCATTGTATGTTTATGCTACCTTTTGTTTTTCATTCATCTGTTGATGGATACTGAGTTGTTTCAACCTTTTAGCTATTGTGGATTATGCTGCAAATTTAGTGGTTTAAAACAACAGATACTTATTCTCTTACCCTTTTGGAGGCTAGAAATCCTATATTTAGGGTATTGCAAGGACATGCTATCTCTTTGAAGGTTCTAGAGAAAGATCCTTATCTTTTCCAGCTTCTGGTATCTGCAGGTATACCTTGGCTTGTGGCAGCATTAAATCTAATAATCTCTACTTCTTTCCTCACATGACCTATTTCCTTTTTTTGTGTCTGGCTATCTGTGTCTCTTCTCTGATTTTATAAGGACACCCATCTGACTGGATTAGGGTCCACTCTACTCCAGTATGAGCTCATGCTAACTAATTATATCTGTAAAGACCTTATTTCCAAATAAAGTCATGTTCACAGGAACTGAGGGTTAGGATTTCAACATCAATTGTGAGGACATAATTCAGCCCATAGTATGAATCAAGTACATGAAAAGTGAGAAAAATAAGTTACTTTACTGGTTAATTTTTCCATCCCTAACCTCTAAGAAGAGCAAGTCTTCTGAAGAGCCTACCCATGTTGCCTTTATTTTCTCTTTCTTTCCTCCATAAATGTGATAATAGGTTGTGGTTGTCGAGATGGAGGACTTTTGGATTCCCAAGGTCTTACAAGACTCTGTTTGGCAAAAATAAGCAGAGGAATCACCCTATATGATATATACTCTTTGGATAGTCATTTTAAAAAGGAGAGATGGCTAGAGCAGTAATTTTGAGGTTTTTGCCAACAGTGTGTCATGTTCACATGTGCAATATTCTCCCAAGTATGCCAGATTTTGATGGTCAAGCTGAAGTGCAGATCACATGGGCCATGCATGATTCCTAGTATTCTTGTTCCCGAAACTGGGTTGTAGTGTGTCAGAAAGTCAGCAGTCCTGTTGAGAAACACTGCACTGGTGAACGTTTTAATTTCAAGAGTCATACATGCATCTGAGTGAGTTCATGAATTGTGGGTGTTTAGGATCATACTCTTGGGTGAAATTTGCTTATTCACAAAGACCATTATTTTGTATGATTGAGAAATACACTGTCTATGAGAGGCTTCACCACTGAGAATTTCTTTTTAACATTTTGAGGAAACATGCCCCCTATTCCCCACTGGTTAGCCCATTCACCATCCACTTCTCCTTTCTTTGGCTTCAAAAGAGGTTTATAGTTCATTGAGGTTTTGAGATAATTTAGGTATTTTACAGGTAGATGAATTTGTGGCTTCCAGGTTCAAATGGCCTGGTTGTTGCTATTTTGTGCCATTGAGTCAATTTTGACTCATAGTGACACCATGTGACAGAGTAGAACTGCCCCATTGGGTTTTCTAGGCTGTAATATTTTTATTTGTATTTATTTATTTTTGCAGTATTCCTTCTTCCCGCCACCCACTCCTGGTAACCAACAAAGAAACTTTCCTTTCATATATAAATCTTTCCTTGACTTTTTACAATAATGAGCTAATACAAATATTTGTCCTTCTGTGATGGATTTCTTTCACTCAGCATAATGTCCTTCCTACAAGTTCATCCATGTTAAGCAGCGTTTTGCAGATTCTACATTATTCTTTTAGAGTTTCATAATATTCCATTGTGTGTATGTACCATAGTTCAGTTATCCATTATTCTGTTGATGGATACTTAGGTTGTTTCCATTACTTTTTTTTTGCTATTGTAAATAGTGGGAGCTCTGGTGGCATAGTGCCTAACTAAGGCACTTGACTGCTAACCAGAAAGCTGGCGGCCACCAGCCACTCCTCAGAAGGAAGATGGGGCAATCTACTTCCGTAGTGTTACTGCCTTGGAAACCCAAGTAGGGGTCACTATGAGTCGGGTCCGACTTGACACGTAACAACAACAACAACATTGTAAATAGTGCTGCAATTAACATGGATATGCATATATCTGTTCCTGTCCTGGCTCTCACTTCTTCAGGATATATATCTGGTAATGGGATTGCTGGATCAAATGGTATTTCTATTTTCAACTTTGTAAGGAATCATCATACTTCTTTCCACAGTGGTTGTATCATTTTACATTCCCACCAGCAATGTATGAGAGTCCCGGTCTGTCTACATCCTCGCTAGCATTTATTATTTTGGTTATTGAACTTTGCTATTAGTGCTGGGGTCAGATGGTATCTCACTGTTGTTTTGATTTATATCTCTCTAATGCTAGGCTGTAATCTTATGGAAGCAGGTCCTCAAGGCTTTCTTCCATGGAGTTCCTGAGTGGGTTCAAATCACCAACTTTCAGTTTGCTGCTGAGCCCTTAACCATTGCACCACTAGGGCTCCTTAAGATAACATTAAGCTAATGTCTTCATTTCAGAGGGTTGTCATTATAAGGTACCAGAAACTGAGTGCTTACAACAACAAATGTGTTCTCTCACAGTTTTGAATGCTTGAAGTCTGCATTCAGGGTGTTGGCAGGGCTGTGCTCTTTCTGAAGGCTCTAGGAGCATTCCTTGCTTGTTTTTTCCAGCTTCTGGTAGTCTCAGGTGTTGCTCAGCCTGTGGCAACATACTTCCAGTGTAGGCCTTGCCTTCACAAGCCTGTCTTCCCTCTGTGACTGTCTATCTGTTCTCCTCCTCTTATAAGGACACCAGTCATAAAGCGATTAGCGCACACCGCAATGACTTCATCTTACCTAATTACATCTGCAATGACTCTATTTCCAAATAACATCACATCCATGAGTACTGGGGTTAGGGCTTCAACATACATATAATTATTCACTATTAACCCATAACAGCAAACCTTGACAAAACTAACCAACTTTTCATTTGAACTGTGGTGTTGATGAAATAGGACAAATACAGGTCCCTACTCCGTGCACAGGCCAAAACAGTTTACACACTGAGTGATTAAGAGGAGAGAAAATTATTTATTGCAAAGCAACAATGCAAGGAGGCAGGGGTACACATACCCAGATCTGACTCCCCAAAAATCCATCGAATTACAGCTTTGTAGGTTTCAGAAGTGAGGGTTATGTATATTCATAAAAATATCAGGAATTTGGGCATGAGATGATTGACAATTGCCTGAAATTTCCTTCACTCCAGTTTAAAGGGACAGTAGTGTTTTGAGCCAGTGTGCTTGCGTACTGGATGTTACACCGCTTCCTGTCATCAGCCTATTGGGGCTTAGGCAGAGGGGAGGGTGTTAGTTTCCAGTAACTTTGTTCCTCTTTGTCCTGCTGTGCATGTCCCTGGGCCAGAGTTAATTTTCAAGTAGTTTTCTAAGACACATTAATGCATTTATCGCCTGTGCCTAAGGAAATAGCAGAAAAGAATGTTTTTTTTTTTTTTTTTGTTCCATTCAGTTGTTAAGGAACTGAGCTTATTGTATTTACTCATCTGTCTCTAACCCTGGTCCTATTAGTCTTAACTGGTGTGGGGAAATAGTTGAGGGTAATTCAGTTTACCTATCTATTCCCATCTGGGGTCCTATCTATTCTAATTAACTGTTTTAACCAGGGTGAGGAAAATAGTTTTGACTTTATTCAGTTTCATTGACAAAGAATATTGACTATACCATGCACTTTCAGAACAACTTTTCAGAAGAACAAACAAATCAGTTTTAGGAGAAATATAACCAGAATGTTCCTTAGAAGCAAGGATGATGAAACTCTAGTTCACTTACTTTGAACGTGTCATCAGAATAGACCAATCAGTAGAAGAAGACAGCATGGTTAATAGAGTGTCAGCAAAAACAAGAGAATCCTCAATGAGATGGATTGACACAGTAGTCAAAGCAATGAACTCAAACATAGCAACAGTCATAAAGATGGAGCAGGACTGGGCCACAGTTGACTGTGAATCAGAGTCCATGGAAGAAAACCTTGGTGATCTGCTTCCATAAGATTACAGCCCAGCATTAGAGAGATACAAATCAGAACAACAGTGAGATACTATCTGGCCCCAGCACTAATAGTGAAGTTCAACAAGACAGAAATTAACAACTTTTCATTAGGGGGAATAATGAGTCATGGAAAATGGTGATATTTTTACCCTCATGTTGCAAACAAAGATGCATAGTTAATTGTTTAAAAGAATTTGGGTGAAATTTTCTCTAAGAATAGAGCTAATTAAGAAATAATCAGTCAATCTTTGAATGAGAACAAACATGGGATTGAAGAAGTATATATTCTGTAAAGTTTCCTAGAATTCTCCAGTGGGATTATGTTGGTTGTCTGAGTGGTATGTAACCTGATAATACATTCTTTGATATTAGGTTCTTTCCTTTTTTCTATCTCACGCCCTCATTTCCTTTCTGGTGTTTCTCTGAATAAACTACTTTCCCTTGAATCCTTAACTCAGGGTCTATTTTTGGGAGCCCCAGGGTTACAGGTGAGGAGAGACAACTCAGGGACACCCAGAGTAGCAGGCTGGAAGAGCAAGAGAAAGGGGATAAAACCCAGGAAGCCAAGAGAAGAGCAATCAGCCGAAGGGATTAGGTGAGGAGGGGAAACTCAGGGATGCCCAAAGAAGCAGGCCAGAAGAGCAGGAGAAAGGGGATTAAAAGA